ATGGTGGCGGTGCCATCTTTTGTGGTTTAGGAAAGGATTCAAATAGATCCACGTTCACCGGGTGACGACCCAGCTGCAGCTGAGGTCGCGCCCGCTGCTCGTGACTGTGAAGCTGAAAAGGTTAGAGCGTGCTGCTCGACAGCTGATGCAGGTTTAACGGTGTGGAGGTGCTCGCCGCTTCACCCTGATGTATTTTGGCAGCGCGTTCCTGCGCGACCCTGATTGTTTGGGTGACAGGAACCAGAGCGGGGAAGCGTCGTCCTGAACCGAACATCCTGTGCTGCCCGGCTGGTCGACGGCTCTGAGGCGGGGACTGTGTTTCTGATGTTGACCACAAACAAAGTGTGTCTGTTGACACATCTGTTTTCTTCGCTTTGGTCGTGGTGGTTTTCTGGGAAATGACCCACTGCCGTCGACCGCTTTCAACTCTGATTTCACAAAGAGTTCAGTTCGCTGTTTGGTTTTCCTCCGTCTGCACGTCGGCGTGTGTTTGCTGCACGTGTCGTTCGCTCTGCAGGCTGGACGCAACTTTCACAATAAATCACACCAATGTTGCTTTCTGGATTCCTCCTCTTCTTCTGTTTGTAGTCAAATATAATCAGCCGCATGTTCTGGGCGTGGTTGCTTTTCTGACTGCCAGGAGTGCTCGAGATGCGATTGGCTGGCCCGGCGTCCTCCTGCGCGACGCCACATAGTGTCACGCCAAATCTGAGCCCAGCGCAGCCTCATGGGCTCCGTTTAGATGACTTAGATGCTGCTGGGCTGAGTTTGGCCTCATGTGTTGTTGATTCTTCTGTTAGTTCGGAGTCGGAGCCTCGACAGATCAGATGAATCCTCTGACCCCTCACCACCAGTGACATGACAGCGTGGGTTCATTTATGACCCCGTGATGTTTTATATCAGGATGGTTAGTCGGTTACTCGTCTCACTGATGCTGTTTCCTTCAACGACATTCCAAACATGTCGTTAATGTCGCCTTCAGTCATTTATAGGAAACTGTCGGTTTGGGCTTCGAGGCTTCTGCAGCTGTCGGCGTGTAGCCGTGGTTCACTGCAAACAAGCCCACGACGAGGAGAAGCAAACGGACTCAGTGGGACTCTGAGCGGGACACCAGCAGGTCAACGATGTGAAACTGCTTAATTTCTTTAACGTGGAATTTTTTGATGATTCCAGTTTCATTGTGCTGCTCGTGTTGAAACGTTCCCTCACAAAGCAGCAGCGCGTTCATCTGTCGGCCGTCAGTGTGTCGTCGCAACACGTGCAGTTATCTCTGCATCGCCTAACAGAGCGAACCTGCCCTCGCCCTCCCGCTGAGCGCCACGTTTTAACTCTCCGTGACAAACGCTGAAACTCTGCCAACGTTTTTGATTCTTCACAGAGCGAGAGGTCGTGTCGCTGCGGTGGATGTTAATCGCAGAGCGTGACATTCTGGATGTGTGAGGGACATGATTGTGATGAGCTGGGCTGTTCTCGTTGCGCTCCACAGGAGAGGATCCGGTTCCTCCGCCAGCAGATCCTGGATCAGAGGAGGGGGGTGCGCAGAGCCCTGAGGAGGTCTGCGGGGAGGAGCACAACCGACCCGGGAGGAGGAGGAGGAGGAGGAAGAGGAGGAGGACGTCTCCATGCTCTGCTGATACGGTACAAAGACCTGAAGGCGTCTCCCACAAACACGTGCTGTAGGTGCTGTAGGAGTGAAAGACGCACACACACAAAACTATTGAACACAAATTCAGTCTGATTCAGTTTTTATCAAACGCTGATTTCATTGGTTGAGGGAAAGACGCTCGCTGCTCGTGTCCTGATGGGCCGACATCCTCGCTCAGGGTCGAGAGCCGAACTCGTGGTTCCCTCAGAGCGGCCTGGACCATCACGCCACCGAGTCCGACTGTCGTGGTGGTAGGTTGATGTTCTGCGTGCAGGTCGACGCAGACGTAACGGGACTCAAACCTTCCAGAAAGTTCAGCGTCTGCCTCGTCAGTCCACAGAATATTTCCCAGACGTTTCTGGGATCTTCCAGATGTTTGTTGGCAGATGTGAGACGATCTTTTCGGTCCGCAGTGGTTTTCGTCGGACTCTCCCACGGAGGCCATTTTTGCTCACTCTCATTGTGTTGAATCGTGACCTCTGACCTTAACTGAGGCCTGCAGGTCCTCCTGGATGAATTGTGGTCAGCCGGTCGCTCCTGGGAAGGTTCCAGGACTGTTCCAGGCTTTCTCCAGGTGTGGATAACGGCTCCCGCCGTGGTCGCTGGAGTCCCTGATGTCACGACTTTGTGTCTTTAGATCGTGGCGTGATGGTTAACGGGTTTCTTGATGCAGCAGGTGTGACAGGGATGAGCAGAGCAGACCGACTTCAGCCTGTTTAATGTTAAAACATTGTGTGTGGGTACATTAAGAACAGGGTTATTCATTGAAACTAAGGAACAGGACCTGTTGTCATCATCTGTCAGGTTACCTGGAGGAGGTCGCCTGTCTCACCTGCTGGGCTTGTCGACACCTGCCTGCTGTCTGGTCTGTGGAGAGGTGCTGAGCCTGGCTGACCTGAGCGCAGTCGTCTGTGACGCCCCGCACTGTGCAGGTAAACCCACTGAGGGCGCTCGCTGGTAATCGTGGCGGGCTTCACTGTCCGTCTCTCTCAGTGCGTTACTGAGACCGACTGCACTGAATAAAACCGTCCTGAGGTTTTTAGTTTTTATTGGGTGGATTGACCTTTGACCTCTCCACGTGGCACCTCTTCCTGTCCAGATTCTTTGCAGATTTTCTGCACATTTGCAACAGAAAGTAAGCACAGGGAGCCACGTGCCGAATATCTGCATCAACCCTGAAAAGTCTGTTTGCTGGACATCAGTGTTCAGCCCTGATGATGATGTGATTTAGTCTCTGAGGTGTAAAAGTTTAAACAGGGAGGCAACGCTTTGCATCAAAACAGTGAAAGACTGAATCATTTCTCACACCAGGACAAATTCCTGCAGTGTGACGCCGTGTGTGTGTGTGTGTGTGTGTGTGTGCTGAGGGAGTGTCCTGCAGCACTCACTGTTGTTGACTCAGCTGAGTGAGAGATAACTGTAACTGTAGCAGATTTAACTCTTTAGCTTCTGTTGAGGTTTTACAGCCAGGAGATGCTTTTAAAAGAGGATCACATTGACCTGGTTAATAAAAACACACCTGTTATCTGCAGAGAT